ATAGGTTAAAACTAATTGCAACGTAAGTTGTAACATTAAAAGTTGCAACATATTAATTACAGTTCCCATCTTTAATTAATATAGATAAATTTGATTTTTTTTTAATTGCTTTTTAATATTTTAATATTATTATTGAATAAATTTATTATTTATGAAATATAAAATCAAAGTAAATTAAATAATTTAAATGTATATTAAAATGTAAAAATTTAAGCAAATTGTATTTAAATTATAGTTAAATTTAGATTAATTTTTTGGCTAATTGTATTTGAATTGTTTGAATTAAGCTTAACTTTTGACTAAATTGTAGTTAATTTTATATAGCTGAATTATATTAATTTTATCTAAATTATGTTCAAATTATAGGTTAATTAGGCTTGATTTTTAGCTTAAATTATATTCAAATTGTTTTGTTTAAATTGATCTGATTAAAACTAATCAGAATTAGAACAAATTTATTACAATTTGATTTAAATTTAAATATAATTAAACATATGATTTTTAGTTAAATGAGACTATTTCAATCAGTATTTAAAATAAAATGATTTTTGTTTTTACTTTATATTTACTTTTAAATTAAAAAGATACTGGTTAGAAAAATCCTAAAAAGTTCTAATTGGTTTTGATTAAAACTATTAGTTTAAAATTAATATTTTTTTTAAATATTATTATTATAATTAATTTTTTAATTAAAGTTACTTATTTAAATAAGTTTAAATTTCTTTTTAAATTTAAAAGAACTTTAAAATATTAGATTTAGAATCTAGATTTTGAATTAGGTCTTAAATTAAATATATTTCTAATTTTTAAAGAATTTTTATTTTAATAGGAATTTGCTATTTATCACAAATAGTGATCATTACCGGTATTAAATTTAACTAATAGTAATTGGTTTTTTATTATCTCATATAACTGGTAATATTTAAGATGAAACAAATATTTTTTAACAGTAAAAAAATTCTAAGTCTTTAGAATACATAGTAAAAATAAAAACAGGATGGCATAATACAGGATGACAAATAATATATATAATATAAATATATAAAACATGTAATACTAATAGTAAACACCAGTGGTGATACATAGTAAATTTCTTTAAATTAATAAAAAATTTATTTAATATAAATTTATTATTAAAAAATTTAATTAATGATAAATAAATACAAATTATCTTTAAATTCATAAAGACCAATTAGGATTTTTAAGGATTTTACCAACTTACTAGCAGTATTACATTAAAAAAATTTAAAACATTTTGACTTTTGAGTTTTTATTTTAATTTCATAAAAATTTATAATAATAAAATTTGTTTTAATTAGATGATGATACTGATTTTCACTGGATCGGCGCAGGAACAATGATTTTCTGTATTCACAGAATTTCACAGGAAATCACCTGATTTAGGATTTGCAATTATCGTAATGCTGGTTGACATTAAGTTTGGCCAGAATTTGCGAACAGTAATGTTGGCTAACCTTGTATAATTCTGGCCAAATCACAGAATTTCACAGAATTAACTTTTATCAATCACCGGCAGAAAATCATCGTTCCTGGATCGGCGTGACGCGAATCATAAAAACACGTGATTTAGTGATATGTTTAACGGAAATCACTTTTTTTTGTTTTTTTTTTTTTTTAAAATCGCATCTAAACTATGTATCAGCGCGATCGTAACCAATCACTTTTCCTTGGGGGGGAGAGAATTTCCGGAAGCGAAGTACGAAATCAGAATGGTATGTCTTTCAACATCCTTGGGAGAATAAACTTTATAATAAAATTACTTTCCTTCTATTATTTTTATCTAGTACTTGCTGTTATGTCTATTGCGAATATTGTGAAAAGCTCGCTTGGTCCAGTAGGCCTGGACAAAATGTTAGTTGATGATATTGGTGTAAGTATTAAATATCTATATATTGGATTTTTGAAATGAATTCATTTACTTATTTAGGAAATTTAGGATGTTACAATATCAAATGATGGAGCTACAATTCTCAATTTGCTTGAAGTTGAGCACCCTGCTGGACGTGTTCTTGTAGAGCTGGCTCAGCAACAGGACAAAGAAGTTGGTGATGGGACAACATCGGTCGTTATAATAGCTGCAGAACTTCTTCGCCGTGCAAATGAACTCGTAAAGAATAAAATTCATCCAACCACAATTATTACTGGTTATCGGTTTGCTAGTAAAGAAGCATGTAAATACATTGCCGATAATCTAACTACCAAGGTTGATACATTGGGACGTGATTGCCTTGTAAATGTTGCAAAGACAAGTATGGCCAGTAAGATCATTGGATCGTAAGTTGATTCATATAGCTGGATAATTTATAATTTTATTCCATGAACATCCTTTAATCTTTATTTATTTATCAAGTGACGATGAGTTTTTTGCAAATATTGTTGTGGATGCGATTCTTGCCGTTAAATCTACAAATTCTCGTGGCGAAATAAAATACCCTGTTAAAGCTGTCAATGTTCTCAAGGCACATGGTAAAAGTACTCGAGAATCTCTTTTTGTTAAAGGATATGCTCTGAATTGTACTGTTGCATCCCAAGGTATGATTGTGACATTATACTGGCATAAAAAGTTATTCTATATTCCCATTATCGAAAAATTAATAAATTTGTGTAAAAATTTAGCCATGAAAACAAAGATCACGAATGCAAAAATAGCGTGTCTAGATATGAATCTTCAGAAGGCAAGGATGCATTTGGGTGTTCATATCACTGTTGATGATCCAGAAAAGTTAGAAGATATTCGTAAACGGTAATTAATTGGAATGCTTTATCGAATAACAGTTGATCATATAACTTGATTTTATTTGTTTATTATAGTGAAGCTACCATCACAATTGAACGTGTTCAGAAGATTATTTCTGCGGGAGCCAATGTTATCTTTACAACAAAGGGTATTGATGACCTCTGTTTAAAATTATTTGTGGAAAATGGAGCTATGGCTGTTCGTCGCTGTAAAAAAGAAGATTTAAGAAGAATTGCAAAATCTACCGGAGGTATTTATTAATTTAATTCATTTTATTTCAATATGAATTAACACTCATGTTCCTTTTACTTCTGCCTAAAAGCCACGCTTATTTCCACACTTGCTAATCTTGAGGGAGAGGAAACATTTGAACTTTCATATCTTGGTACTGCAGAAGAAGTTGTTCAAGAGCGTATTTCAGATGATGAGTGTATTCTTATTAAAGGCACTAAAGCTCAAAATTCATCTTCCATCATTTTACGTGGTGCCAATGATTACATGTTGGATGAAATGGAAAGGGCTTTACATGATTCATTGTCCGTCGTGAAAAGGACTCTGGAAAGTGGTGCCGTTGTTCCAGGTGGTGGTGCAGTTGAAACAGCGTTGAGCATTTATTTGGAAACTTTTGCGACGACTTTGGTAATTTTTATATATTTTTAATTAATGGTATATTATTTAGAGGTAATTTTAATTTTGTGAATATTTATTTTAGGGATCACGAGAGCAGCTTGCTATAGCTGAATTTGCAAATTCACTTCTTGTAATACCAAAAACACTTGCTGTAAATGCCGCAAAGGATTCAACTGACTTAGTTGCAAAATTAAGAGCATATCATAATGCGTCCCAAAACGCTACCCCAGATGATCCAAAAAAAAATCTAAAATATTACGGCCTTGAACTTCTTAAGGGTGAAGTTAGAGATAATTTGAAAGCCGGCGTATTAGAACCAGCTATGTCGAAAATCAAATCACTGAAATCTGCTACTGAAGCGGCCATATCTATTCTTAGGATTGACGACATGATAAAGGTTAGTTATTTTTTAATTAATTATATATTCGTTATTTATTTAACTAACATTATTCAAATTTCTTAACATACATATAGGTTGAACCGGAACAAAGAGGTGGAGAAGATGATGGTCATGGCCATTAAATGTTGTAACATAGTTTTATTCGCGAAATGATTTTTTTTAATTATTAATTTTTTGTAAAAGAAGTTTAATCTCAATTTATTGATTATTAAAATTCCATTTGCTTTTTAGAAACAAGCAATAATATTTAATACATTATATAAGCATAGTGCGTATCAAATATTAATAATAGTGCATCTACTACAACCCAAAGTTTCACTATACATTTGATATTCAATGGATGAGAATTTGACCATAATATTAACTAATCCTAATTAACTAATGTGGGATTATGTTGCTTATGTATGCTCTTGATACTGTTTTCCACTTTAGACATCAATTGTTCGCCCGCGGCATCAACTTATTTTTATCTCGTCTTCTTAACTTCTGTATGATGTCTAATATTGATAAGACAAAGATGCCGATTTTATGCACTTGGTCCATAAAATTAATTAACTACATAGAAAGTACCGGATACCTTCGGAATATTTTCATTTTCATTTATATATCCTGATCATTTAAATGCATATAGGTTAATAAATTTTTTTTTTTTTGATAGTAATTATTTGTTATACATGTTACATTTTTTAGAAGATTTATGTAAATGAAAATAAAAACTTCGAGAGTTAAAATCCAAAATCCATCAAATATATTTTAGTGCTTTTACTTCAGATCAATCCTTATATATCAAATAAGTTATTTGATACTAATAATAAATATAATTATGATAGCAATTTTAAAGAACCGTTTTCTTATATCTTTTGTAATGCTTATAATAATAAAATTCAACATTTAAGAAGGAAATTTTAGATGATGATAATAATAATAATTGTATATATCAGATTCTATATTAAAAAAATTAGAAACCAATTTAACTTTTAAACTTTTGAAGAAAATATTGGTGAAAAAATTATAATGTAAATTATTGTTAAAAATAAAATATAACAATTTATTATAATAATGAATTATTTTAAAAAATATATTATATTATATAAAGTGATAAATCCTTCAAATGAACTTGAATTTTTATAAAAAGGTTACCTGCGTTACACTTCGCCCCCCAATGATTAGATTATTTTTTAAAAACATTCAAATACAAAAATAATTGACTCATGCAAAATATTTGCTTTGCCCGATTATTAATCTTTTTTTTTATATTTATAAATGCATATATAATCAATATTGAATTACATTTCCAATTTCAAATCGGAAACATTGCTAATAAATAAAAGTTTTAAATGAATCAATCTACTAATCCAGAAACTCTAAGAAAGAAAAATAGAAAAATTAGTGAAACAACTTAACAATGCGAGGAACGTCTCACAAGAGAAACAGAATTAAATGCAAATGTAACAGACGAAAGTACGAGGCGCGTCTTAAAAGCATTCGAGAAAGAAGTCAAGTCGAAGGAAATCACTGAGGAACGTGAGCGTCGTGCAATCTATTGGATCCATTGGCCATTGGCCAACCCTCTTCAGTTAATGATAATATTATAAATAATAAAATAAGATATTGATCTGATTCCAAAGTTATTATACTACATTATATTACAACGTAAAATGTAGTATTAGTTTCAATAAATAATGTTCGATCCCGAATTAAATATTCTCTACAGTTTTGTTCACAAATAGGTTATTTTGAAAATCAATTTGCAGGTTATATGACAAATAGAATGCACCCGCAATAATTACAAATAGAAAGATTTCGTAACTCCTTATAATAAAATAATAAATATACATAGGTATTTATAAAATCAAAAATTACATCATCTTACGTCATTCACGCGTAACATGAACCATGTGATTTTCTGCTTTCTTGTAAATAGATCATTTATTTCTCTCTCTGAGTTTTGACTAAATTCATTCTTCTTCGCGTTCGTTAAAATAAGCTTTTAAATACTAGTAATTTTAAATTATATTATATCATTTTTACTCGTATTTGCGTAAAGAAAAAACGTATGTAGTGTGATTGTAAATTTTCAAAACCGACTTTTCAACCAACGCGTCTTTTTGTGTTTTCTTTTTTTTCCCAACATAAATATAACTCAAACGTTCTTTGTTTTTGATATTTTTAATATTCAAGGGTACGGCAAACCCAAATATCTCCTTTATTGTAGAAAAGAGTGGTTTTTGAATGACAAACAACTTGAAGTATCGGGCTATTATGTTATGTGGGTGTTATTTGAATTGGTCCCTTGTCTGTTATTAACTTTGTGGGGTCTAGGGGAGCACAGTAAAGCATTATCATGTTCTAGGTCTTGGTGGTGTTTC